CAGCCTGTCCGGGTCAGGGCAGGGGTGTAGCTAGCAGGGTCTCCCCCTGTACCCCCCTCACAGGCAGCCCACCACACATGCAGGGTTACAGACGTCCCTGGCTTGGCCCCTTGGGCTGTTCCCCTCTGCAGGGCCTGCACCAGGCTGCCCACGCACCCCTGGTCTGACGGTGGGGGCCCCTCAGCAGCCGGCACAGAGCCCAAACCTTATGCCATGCAGGCCTGCTGCCCCACGGCCTTCCTGACTCGCACCCCCCATGCCGCACCGGTCTCCCTAGACCAGTTCCCAGCTGTCACTGAGCAAAGCCCAACATGGCACAGCAAATGGGGCTTGACAGTGGGGGATTTTCCGAGGGCTTGGCATGACCATTGTGTGGGGCTCAGTTTCCCCGTTTGCTGTGTGTGTAACAAGGGGGTGGGAGAGGAAATTTGTTGTTGCAGGAGACCAGGCATGACCTCGCTTAGCAGCTGGGATCCCAGACAAGTGCCTGGAGATGGGGAACCCTAGCGACCGGTGACCTGGTGACCGAGAGGCCCACCCCAGCTTGGCCCTCAGCCGGTTCTGGCCAGTGGGAGGACAAAGGGCTGAGGGGAGAGGACTGACCAGCCGGTTCCAGCCAGTGGGGAACAAAGGATGGAAGAGAGGAGGCCCAGACAACCTGTTTGCCTGGGACCGAAGGCAAAGGACAGGGGAGAAACTGTTGGGGGAGATGATCTAGGATGATTGGCTGGAAAGAGGGAGTGGCTGGACTGGGGTGAGAGAGCAGCCAGAGCCCACCTGGATGCAGGAGAGACCTAGATGTACTGACTGAGGGTTGCTAGGGCCAAGGGCCCAGAGAGTTTCCTAGGCTCGGTTGAGATGCTCAATAAACCTTCCTGTTTTATGCTGCCCGAGAGTCACTCCAGTCTAGAGATCAGGGTTGCATTATTCCCTCGGGGAGTGGAGGCCCCGGGGGTCCAGAGCCAGGGGACTCCCTGAGGGGGCCCACGGCGAGGGTTGTCAACGGTCTAGCCCCACCCCTTCCCTGTAGCCCTGCCCCCTGCCCCACCCCTTCCCCGAGGCCCTGCCCCCCCACTACATTCCACCTCCCTCAGTGGTTCGCTCTCCCCCACCCTCACTCACTTTCACTGAGCTGGGGGAGGGGGTTGGCGTTGCGGGAGGGCTGTGGGCACTAACTGGGGGTTCGGCTGGGGATGAGGGGTTTGGGGTGCAGGAGAGGGCTCCGGGTTTAGGGGGTGCTCAGGGCTGGGGCAGGAGGTTTGGGCATGAGCTCCCGGTCAGCAGCGCAGCAGGGCTAAGGCAGGCTTCCTATCTGTCCTGGCACTGTGCCGCATCCTGGAAGCGGCCAGCAGCAGGTCCAGCTCGAGGCAGGCGGGGCGGGGGGGGCAGGAGGCTCAGTGTGCTGCTCTCGCCTGCAGGCACCGCCCCCCCCCCCCGCAGCTCCCATTGGCCGTGGTTCCCGGCCAATGGGAGTGTGGAGCTGGTGCTCAGGGCGGGGGCAGTGCACGGAGCCCAGTGGACAGCCCCCCCCCCCCACCGCCCCGCCTAGGAGCCGCACCTTAGCACAGCCGACCAGAATGCTGCGGTGCTGGCTGGCGCCACGAGGGCCCCTGTTTGACTGGGCGTGCCGGACGAAAACCGGAGCCCTGGCAACCCCACCTGCGGTAGGAGACAGGAGACAGGCGTGCTGACGGCTCAGGGGCGGTGGCGGGGCCCACGGCTTAACCCCCCGAGAGAGCGTGCCCTGCCCCGAGAAGGGCTGTCACACTGAAGGGGCCCGTACGGAGCTGAGCGAGCACGGGGCCTGCGAGTCCGTGACAGATCTCACAGTGTCATTTCACATGGGGGCTCATCCGCCAGTGCGGCTGTTTCCTGCAGGGTCCCGCCGGGGTTGGGCCTTGGCCCTCCCACATCTTGGTGGGTGGAGACAAGGCCAGGCACCATCCACAGAGCATGCTGGTTCCCTTGGTGAGCTGGCCACATGCAAACTACACATATGGCAAGGTGGCCACATGCGTGGCCATGCAACTACCAGCACAGCTAGCCCGTGTTGTATTCCCGCCTGCTCCTGCCCTGGACTCCAGCCCCACTGGCCCCTTGGAGCCCTGCAGAGCCATGTCTGCAGGAGGGAGTTGCACCCGACGGGCCGGAGCTTGCTCGCAGTCACTTCTCTCTGTAAAACCAGCGTCACTCAGCTGGAGTCAGAGGCCTGGCTCCAAATTTACACTGGGTGGGGGCTTATGGCCGTTTTGTCTCTGAAATGCCTCAGTCAGCCTGATTACGGTCCCCGGGCCACCAGCTCTGGGTACATTTTCTCAGGTTGGTCTGAACACATCTCTTTGCCCAGCCAGGGCAGCCAGCCTGGCTCACTTGCTGTGCCCTTGCTCTGCCAGCTCATGCTTAGCACTGTGCAAGGCTAGGCCCAGCTGCATGGGAACCTAGCCAGAAGCTCTCTGGGCACTCACAGGCCCTGGTGCTTTGAGCATCGCCCTCCAGCGCACAGCAGCAATGCTGCAGCGTGAGCACGCCTGCTTCCATTGCCACAATTCATTTGTGACTAAGCCCCATCCCAGTGTGTGTGTGTGGCCGAGCCCTGGCTGAGCCATCTGGGGTCTTTCAGCCCCAAGATGAGGGTCTGTGAATGTGTGAATCCCCAGGTGGCCTAGTGTAGGAGCCATGGGTACAGGCCCCCCCCGCACTGCCTCCAAGATCTTGCCTGAGCTCCCAGGCCTGCACTGAACTTGCAGCCATAGGCACGAAGCTGGCTACTGCGAGGCTGGTGCTGTGGCCCCCACGTCAGGGCAGGAGGGGCATGTGGCAGGCAGTGTTTCCCTGGTGGAGGCTGGGCCTCGTTCAGCAGCCGTTGGCCCACATGACTGGTGAAAGCTGGGTGAGGAGCCTGGTGTCCTTGGCTCCACCAGGCTCTGACCCTCGGTAAGGCCTGGGGAGGGCAGTGACATGGCCACCCTGGTCACGGCAGGCGGAGACCAGGTACCTTGCTGAGGCATTTGGCTTCTGCTGCGGCAGCTAGACACAAGGGCTGGTGACTGGTTTGCAGCCACTGCTGGGGTGGATGGGGTGGCTCCCCCAGCCCCACTCTTGTCCCTAGGCAGGGTTTGCTGGGCATTCCCCCCTCCGCCCACAAGGGCTCCCTCCGGTCCAGCCAGCAGGTGCCTTTGTGGGACACGCCTGAGGGGTCTCGGCTCCAGTTCCTGAACTGGGCATCTGACACTAAGTCCTGCAGCTCCTTTGGGTCCTGGCTGGCCTGTGCCATTTCCTTGGTCCCCCCATGCTTGGCCAAGCAGGGAGGCTGGCTGAACGCTGGGGGTGGGGGCTGAAGCCCAGTGCAGCCCAGGCACTGGTGCTGCTGGCAGGAAGGGGAACTGCCCAGTGGCTGTGACTGACCCTGGCGGAGAATGCGGGCAATGCCCCCAGCTGACCCTGAGGGTCATGTGGACACCCTCTCTGCTCCTGGAGTGCAGGCGCCGAGCTAGGGACTGTGGGGCATGGGTCAGCTGCCTGGGGAAACCTCTCCTGCCTCGCCAATGTGGAGCCCTCCCCAAACTCCTGGATCTTTCCCTGGGGCCACGCGCACTGCATAGAGGTCACCTGGCCGAGCACGGGGGGGCCCTGCTGCTGCACTGTGCTGGGCTGATGACAGCAGGCCCAGCCCCTTCCTTAGGCCAGTCCATGTACACCACCTCCAGGGACTGGGTCAGAAGTCCCAGGCTCACACCCCCGTCTGCTTGTCTGGGCATGCTCTTGCTGTCTGTCCTCACCCGAAGGCTGAGCTCCAAGCCAGGGATCGAACAGTCCCAGCCCAGGGCCCCCTGGTCCTGGATTTCATGCCATCCCACAGCCCAGCAAAGCCCACATTTGGGAGCCTTTCGAGTGTGGTGTGGGAAGCTGTGGTCCAGCCTGGCCTTGGTGTCAGGCCGATGGACTGTGGCTGGCCAGCGTGCGGGCGAGAAAGCGCTGTAGCCTGCCGGGGATTTACTGCAGGGGGTTGGGCGGGGGGCAGGGTGGGGCTGGCTTTGTGCCCGTATTGGTTGAGTGTTGATTCTGCCCCAGTGAGAGCCTCAGCCTGCAGTGCGGGAGCCGCGAGCGGTTCGTTAACATCTCTCCTGGGGCTCTTGGCAGCACAGGACGTTAAAGCGCTGTGTGAATGCGTACCAGGCTGAGCGACTGGCCAGTCAGGATGCTGTGAGAATGACCGAGATAAACGGCATTTCCTGCCATATGGGTTCAAGGTGACTCTGCAGCACTATCACCGAACTCCCACCCCTGCGGCTCTTCGGGGAATGCTGATGGTTCATTTGGCTCCTGAACTCCTGAGGTCTGAGTGTCACTGTTCTACCCCCACGCGCAGAGCCAGCCCCATGGACTGGGCATGTCATAAGGTGCAAACAGATGCCCACAGACTCACTGTCCGGGGGTGCTGCTCCCCAATCTGCTCACCCTGGTCCCAAGCCAGGAAGAGCAAAGCTGCAGCCCAGAACACAACAAAAGGTTTCTTATAAATTTATTACATAATAATAATAATATAATAATAATAATAATAATTAATAATAATATAAGAAACATAGATCTCTGTGGGGTGTGTGTATCACAACGTTGAGGGGAAGGAGGTGCATGGGCCACACCTCCATGACTCTGGAGCAGGAGAAATCTCCGAAAATCCATACAAAATAAGGTGTGAAGTCAAACTGACCCTGTAAAATTTAAAAAACCAAACCAAACCAAACCAAAAACCCACAGGTGAGTTTGTCTGGGTGAAAGAACAGGGTGTGTGTGTGTGCGTGTGTAGGTAGGGGCATGTGTGCATGTGAGACTGGACAATGAACCCACACTTTGTTTCCAGTTCCATGAGGTTGTAGCTGGAAAAGCTTTTAACCATCAGGGGCAAAGTGTTTAGGATTTTGAGTCTTCCTTGTTTTAATGTCTAGAAATACAAAGAGAAGAGCATGAAGAACAAAAAATTAATGAATTTAGTCTGGACCAAAAAAAAAAAAAAATCGACACCTTTAAAAAAAACCAACCCCAAAACAAAAACGTTGCCCTCAGTTTATATAGAAGCTACCAAAAGGCATTGAGAAGCCATGAGACATCACAGTCACCTCAGCACGTCAAATCCCGAGCCGCGCGGGATGTCCTGCCAGATGGGCGCATTTGTTCGCGACATGACCCTGACGCTAACGTGTCATGGTTGGCTCCCTTTTCCTGGGTCACGCGGCCTCCCCCCAATGGCTTTTCAGAATGAGCTGTTCCTCTCTGTCTGGAGACGGTGGGAACAGCGATGCCAATGCAGCTAGGATAGGTATAAAGTCAGGAAAGTGCTATCTACACATGGAAAAAATCCCCTTTGCTTCAGCTGAGAACACAAGGGTCTGGCACAGCAGCTGCGGTAACTGGCAAGTTACACTTGTGCCAAGGGGAGTCTCAAAATGACCATGGGACAAGGCCACTGGGGGCCAGCAGGACGTTGTGCAACCTGGGAAGGTGGGCAGCTCCGAACTGGACTTCTGTGGGTGCGACGAATGCGCGAGACATTCGTCACAGCCAGCAGACCACAGATGGGGCTCTCAAGACTGAGCCCGGGGCAAATGTTGCAGAACTATGGGATGCTATGCCCCAAGATGTCAATGAAACTGTGAGACAACCAAGGCTCTGTGCAGACCTCAGCATGCCCAAGGCTTTCACTGGGCAGCCAAGACCCTCCCGCAACAGTCCTGTGTTCACCAGAACCGGGGCTCTGACGCTGTCGCGGACTGATACAAAACGAGAGTCTGTTGTCTGCCGCGAGGAAGAAGGAAGCAGAGCTGTGGAATTTGCCTCAGCCTGTCACTGCCTTAGGTTAAGCATCATCACCAGCAATTGCCTTTGGCAATTAATGCTCATCTCAAGAGAAACGCAGCCCAGCTGGTCACCCTGCAGCCTGACAGGTGAGTTCCTTGCCAGGCCCCGATGCAGCAGGCAGGGAGGTCTCCTCCGCCAGCGGCTGTAGAGACGTCACCAGACCTCTGCGGCGTCTCATCAAAGGCACGTGCCTTTGGGGCGTCGCGCGCATACTGGGAGGGTGCTGTGTCCGTACCACAGAGCTGACTGCAGTCATGGGGGCAGCGGGCAGGAGGGAGGGTAATAAGAGGAACCAGCCAATCTTGTCCTGGAAGGGGAGGGTGACCCATAAGAGGGGAAGAGCCTTTCAGGTGGGCCAGTCGCTGACAGGCTGCAGGTACTGGGTGGGCAGGGAAATGGGCTGTTGGCTGATCGAGCCGGGTAGGCCCTGGTTGGCCAGAGACGTTTCCAGCGCAGGAAAGAGTTGAGCCACTTTGGTTGGACGTTGCTTTCGCTTGTGTTATGCGTGCCTGGGCCTCGCCGTGGTGTCCCCAGGACTGACCGTCTGGTGTCAGGAGATCACGCAGTGTTTGCTAACACAGGTACGGCTGCAGCTGCTTTGTGGGATGGAGGCTGAGAAGCACTGCTTCTGCCATTCCCAGCCCTCCCGTGGGACAACAACGCCATGCGGGAGGGCGTGTGGGAAAGGGGCCGAAGGTCCCCAGCTTTCCCTGGCCCCGGCGGAACATGCTGCAGACAAGGTACGGTCTGCAGGCTTGTGGCCTCCCAAGACAGGAGGCAGGGTGCAGGCAGGGTCTCGACAGGTTTGCCCCAGAAACAGCTGCGGAAGGGACAAAGACCCAGAGTTCAAGAGCATGAACTCGAATTCAGCCTGCACTCAGGCTAACACAACCCGTAATGCTGCAACTCACCCCTCAGGCGCCCAAGAGTCAGACAAGGCCTTCACGCTGCCACGCGGGGCCCAGAGATCCAAGATGGGGCTTGCAAAGACAGGTGGGAGAAGTGTATGAACCACCCCAAAGAGGAAAGTTTGCTTTTCCGGCTCGCTGTTCAGCAGGCCTGGGGATCACGGCTGCCTGCAGGGGCCTGCTGCCAGCCTGAGGAGCTGCTGGGACCGTCGGGTGGAGGCTGTATCTCAGGGCGAAGTGCTGGGGCCAGGGGTGGGTGTGCCGGACGCTGGGGTGTGTGGGGTGAACGGCAGTGAGGCCCAGCATGGGAGCTGAGGTGCTGGGCGAAGGGGCAGGGCTCGAATGGGAAAGCCTGTCTGGTAGCACTTGGTCTGCACTGGCGTGAATGATGGGATCCCACCGAGTCTCGCTGTTGAGTCCTGGGCAAAAGATGAGCAAGGGGCTCTGGTGAGAGGGGTGAGGACAGTTGCCGCATGAAGTGGGCTTTTGCCTGGTGCAGGCTGCAGGGCGCCGCGGCAGTTGCTGATGAGTGGGGCTGGATGTTGACAGCATGGAGGGGGCTGCGTATGGGCCTGGATCCTGTGTGTGATATCACCTGTGACAATGATTTGGGGGGGCACGGAGTACGGGGGGAGGGATTGGGAAGGGGTGTAGATGAGTTGGGCATGGGGCTAGATGTCATGTATGGGGGGGCTATGGTATATGGGGATGGGGTTGGGGGAGTATGATGTATGGGGATAGGGCATGGTGTATGAGGATTGGGGGGTACAGTATATGGGGCTAGGGGGTTGGGGGTACGGTGTATGGGGCTAGGGGGCTGGGGTATGGTGTATGGGGATAGGGGTTGGGGTACAGTGTATGGGGATACAGGGCTGGGGTAGCGTACGGGGCTAGGGGGTTGGGGGCACTGTGTTTGGGGCTTGGGGGCTGGGATACGGTGTATGGGGATAGAGGTTGGGTATGTTTGGGGATATGGGGCAGGGGAGTGCAAATGCAGTGTCTGGAGATTTATTCTGGGAGATACAGTGTGTGGGGCTGCGGCTATGGTGTGTGGGTAGCGTGTATTGGAATATGTGACCAGGGATGGGTACAGGAGTAATGCGTGTGGGGACGTGGGGCTGGGTACAAAGGGCTGGTGGCTGGGACGTGGGGCTGGTGGCTGGGATGTGGGGCTGGGTACGAAGGGCTGGTGGCTGGGATGTGGGGCTGGTGGCTGGGACGTGGGGCTGGGCACTTAAGGAGTGCTGGGACGGTGGCTTTCGCAGGGCTGCTGTGCTGGGACGGCTGTGCTATGGGCTCGGGCTGGGGTAGGCGCTGTGGGGCCCCGGGGAAATGGGGTGATTGGGGTTGCATCTGGGTCAGGGCATGGGATTAGCCAGTGAGTGTTTGGGGTCCATACAGGGTGCACAGCAGGGTTTACTTTCCAGACTAATCTGGCTATAGATGCCCAGCCCCCCTCTGTCCCTTCCCCATGGCGCTGCCCCACGTTGCCAGCTCCCAGATGCAGCATGGGGTGAACTGGTGCAATTGACAGGGCTGGGTTTGCTCCTCTGAGCCCAGCGCGCGAGTGACAGCTCAGGGAAGGGAGACAGCACCCTCAGAGTATGTGGGGAGCTCGCTCCCCAAGCCCCCTCCCCAGCACACAGTGGGGCTGCCCCAGCTGATGGCTGTAAGGTTCCGAGATGTGTGAAGGTCGGAGAGGAACCTCGTTGTCCTTCCCTCTAGCACCAGAAGCGTTAATGCCTTCACAGGGGCACTTGGCCTTTCGGGCACACCAGTCCCCCAAGGGGGCAAGGGCTGAGCCCCACCCCACCCCAGATGGGGCGCCTAGAAACTGGGGGCTGAGCATATGAGTGAGAGATCAAAGACAGGTGAAAAGCCAGTGCGTGACATTTGCAGGCCACGCTGGGGTGGCCCTGCAGGACAGTCCCCTCCCTGCGTATTTTCTTTCTTTGTAATTTACTCACCCCCCTTGCATGCTCTCATGCCTGAAGGGAGCTGGAGGGCGTGGTGGCAGACATGAGACCTGATACAACTCAGTGCGCTAGCAGGGAAGGGACAAGCACTAGCCAAGGAGTGAGCCGCAGATCTCGCTGGCTCCAACCACACCTGGGAGCACCTCCTGGGCTCGTCCCAGCGTTACAAAGGAACGCTGCTCCCCCCAGGGCCGCTGGGGGCCAGGTGGGCCCGTGGCGGGGGTGCCAGGGGCTATTATTACTCTCCTACAGCTGACTGGTGAAAAAGCCAAACCATCCCCCAGACCAGGAGGGACACTGCCCCTGCAACCAAGCCCTTTGCCCAGATTGAGCATCTCCTCCCAGCAGGCCTTCCTCCTGCCTAGCCACACACCAGGCCTCAGAGACAGGGGACTTGGAGAGCTGCCCTGCCCAGCCCTGGAATGGGGAGGGGTGCATTTCCTTCCACCTCCCAGTCTCTGTCCTGACAGAGCCCTTCTTTGTTCCCCTCCGCGGCCTCACTCCTGACCCTCACGTCCTGCGGAGCAGCCGAAGGGCGCCCGCCTCCTTGCCCTGCTGGCTGGGTGTGGGCCCCTAGCCTCCCTGCACTCAGACCCCTGCCGCACATGCGGCGGGACGACAATGCCTCTTCCTCAGGAGGGGAGGCGGGGAGGGACCTGCTGCACCGGGCACCCCAGGACTGCGGCCGTGTCGGGGAAACTGCAGCTTCGTTCAGCTTGCTCTGGGAATGGGAGACCTGGCGTGGCCCAGGCCCACGTTTTATTCTGTGTTTCTAAATCTTTAAAATACTGAGGGTCCGAAAGGAGATGGAGATTCTTTAGAAGACTTTAACATTCGTTCAGTCAGTCACTAAAAACTCGCCAAGTCGTGAGTGTCCCAGGGAAAGGGAGCAGCTCGGTAAGTCTAGAGATACAGAGATTTAGTCAAATGCGAACAAACTCAGGTGCTACAGATATAGATATATAGATATTTGTTCTCTTCTCGTTTCAAATATAGAGCTGATTAAAAAGATGCAAAATAAGGATGACTAGGATGGCATGGGAATCCTGGAGTTTAGCATCATCTCTTGTTGATCATCAGCTGCTCTACATAAACGCATGGAGATTATATATTAGCCATCAATGTGTCCCCCTTGGAAACAAGACCCCAAACCAAGAGGCAAAAGAAGACTCCCCCCACCCCGCACCCCCTTTGAACGTTGGCAAAGCATTTTCTGCTTGATTCCCCACCAGCCTCCCTTGGACATCCCCCAAACATGCTTCGATCCATGCGGCTTCACTTCCTCTCTCACCAGGGCAGCCCAGGGCAACAGGGCAGAGGAACACAGAGTCCAAAGGCTCGGCTTTCTTGGCAAGGCCATCACCATTTTCTTGTTTGCACGGCAACAGGCTTGCTCCGCTTCGGGGCGGAAGCTGCTGAAGGAGCCCAGAGTGAAGGGGCTCCCCAGGCAGAAGCAGCGATTGGCTAGAGGCAGCCGATCTGGTTCTCCCTGCGGGGCAGCCCCGACTGTGCCTCTTGGCCATGGAATCAGAATGGCCCTTCGTGCTGCAGCGGCCGCTAGGGCCTGTCTGAGCTGGAGCCCACCAATAGTGCCAGGCGCCCACATGCCAGCACAGGCTTTGCCCACATGGGAAACACGCTGCCTCCCCCCGCCCTGCGGGGCCTAGGGACCTGCACCTCGCTGCCTGCCTGCCCTCACCTGTCTTGGAGCTGGCGTCAAGGGCCGCGTGAAGGCCAGCACTGCCCTCTCCCCTTGGCCCCTCCAAGTCTCCCATCACCACGACCATGCTATTCAGCAGCTCCTCCGGGCGTCTCACAGCCGCCTGCCCTGCTGGTCACAGAGGACCCCGACCTGCCTACCAGCCAGCCACTCTCGCGGGACGGCTGAGCAGCAGCGTGGCAGGACGGAGCCTAGGCCTCTGGTTGCCCCAGCTCAGGGAACAGGGACGCAACTGACATTCAGACAAGCGCCCACCTTGTATCACATACAGATCAGTTCAATTCCTGGGTCACCAGACGACCATTGCAACACAGCTGAGCCTCATTAGCTGACAGCCCCATCACCCTAAACTGAGCTCTGGTTCCTAATTTGCACCACTAACACCGGCCTCTCCCCCTGCTCTCCACAGCCCTTTGATCAGAATACATTCCACAGCCTGCTCCATGCAGGTGAGCAAGGTTCTCCCGCAGACTGGGAGCACGGGCCAGCCAGGCATGGCCCGCTGCCCTCCTGCCACCAGCAGCGCCCCTGGGGAAAGGCACATCAAGCGCTATGCAGGCCTGACCCTTTAGAAGAACAGAAAAGAGGGTGTATTTCATGCAACATTCCTTTTCCCAAAGGCGGTGTTGGCTGGTGCAGGGTTGAGTGGGGGGGGGCTGAGCATGTGTTTGTGTGTGTGTGCGTGTGCGTGTCCGTGTGTGTTTGTGCACACCTGGGGCTCTGGGTGTATGGAGTGAGTGGGCGCTCCTCAGCTCTTCGCCCTTCAGTGCAGTGGTCAGAATAGAAAGAGAATCAAATTGGTTTTATTCGTCTAGTAGAAACGCCCCCCTCCCCCCCATTAGTTGGCTCTGGAAGAGGCCAGCACTGCCTAGGATGGTCAACTGTCTACCAGCTCTTTGAGTGCTCGCTCAATGTTCATGCGGTGCCCCACACGTGTCACCCCCAACTCCACAAAGTCCTCCTTGGTGAGGGCAGGTAAGTGCGTGCCCTCAATCTCATTGTCCTCAAACTTGTCTCGATGCTCCACCAAATTGATGCTTTCCAGCCAGTCCCCTACATCGTATTTGTTCCACAGGTGGACGGGTTTCTGCATGAAGGGCCGCGGTGGGTGCAGAGTGTGCAGAGGGGCCCCAGGAGAGGGTGAGGGGGATGGGGAGCGGCTCCGGGCACTCACGCTCCGCACCACAAAGCGCACCTCCTTGGGCTCATGCGGGATGGAGAGGCTGGAAGATTTGAGGATGGTGGGAGGTGTCAATCCATAGGGCCGCACGGTGCTGAGAGGGTCTGTCCTATCCAGGGCAGGCTTCACTGGACTGGGAGTACGCCGGGTTACAGGGTAGCGGCTGCCAGGTCGAACTGTGTAGGTGGTTCCGGAGCTCCGCTGGGAAATGGTGCTGAGTTCTCCTAAACTACTGAAAAGTCTGTGGAAAGAGAGATACAGGGAGGGAGAGGGAGAGAGAGAGAGAGAGAGAGCAAAGGGTAGGGGTGAGGTGGAGCTCCCGAGACACAAGAACATACAGATACAGTATACATGGGGGGAGCAGCCAGCCGCTGGAGAACAGCGTCAGTCTGGGACAGGAGGAAGGGTTCTGTGTAGTGGCCAAGGGAATGCTGTTCTTGGGGTGGCATCAAGCCTGGAGTGTTTTAGCCAAGATTCTCGGGAAAGCCCTGATGGCCAGATTCTGGAGGAAGCCTCAGAGGTGTGTGCGAGAATCCACATCCGGGTCAAACACAGCCCAGATGCACCAACTCTTGACGCCCACGGAGATGCACCAGGGAGGCCCTGACACTCCCTACATACACATGCAGAGCTGCAGCACCTTCTTAACCGGACTCCCGCTTTACACCATCCTCACAGGCTGAGACAACTTGAGCCTCCTCACTACACTGCCTGTCATCTCCGCAGCTTCCTCCTGCTAACACTGTGAATCCGCCTTTGACATTACGTCCCACTATGCTATCAGAAAGTAATGGAAACCTCCTGAGCGCATTCTCCCATCACAGAGGGCAGAGCCAAGCCTGGAACAAGATGGACCCAGCTGGGCTCATATCGCATCATGGGGTGTGAATGGGAGTAAAGCTGCCGTACAGTGAGGCGGTATTGAGCAGAGTGTGTGTCACCACAGGGGAGGTGTGAGAGCTAAGTATTGGGGCGCAGGTGGCATTGCAGGACACGGGGTACAAGGTGTTTTGACTGTTTCTCTTGGCCCATTAATGCAGGGTGTGAGATCTTCCGTATGGGTAATGCTGACCCAGGCACATGTGTGTGCATGAGAGAGGGGCATGGCTGGAGAAGGCTGAGTGTGCCCCCTGCTCCTTTAGAAGCTGTGAGGTTTACGTGCCACTGAGGGCTACCCTATGTGCTACAGTCAAGGCCTCTTCCTTGAAGAACGTCTTCTTTTCTGCTTGTGTTTATTCCCTCCCTCCCCCTAGGTGGCTATTGGTGGTGGGTGGGTGGAACCAGAGAAGGTTCACTTCTCTCAGTGTACACATCCCAGGCTCTCCGCCAGACTGGCTAGGAAAGGCCAGTTCTCGCATTGCCAAAGGTACAGGCTCCTCTCACCCACTGTGGATCAATGTGGCATTGCTCTGAATGTTCCTGTGAAGGAAATCATGGCAGATGGACTCTGGTTTGAGGGTCCCTGAGCAGAGAAGCAAGGCCTCACTGGCTCAGATTCTGGTATCCCCATGTTGGCTAGCTTGGCGCCACTGGCATGGGTCCAGGTAGCCCCAGGCCAGGTAGCTCAGCCCCACAGGGGGGGTCCAGGTAGCCCCAGGCTGGGTAGGTTGAGTGTCACTGGTATGGGTTGAGGCATCCCTCATCCAGGTCCTCGGACCCACTGGCTTGGGTCTGGATATCCCAATATCACAGAGCGCGGCCCACCAGATAGAATGGGTGCAATGCAATGCAATACCAGCTGTTTAGCACCACGGGGTAGTTCTCTGCCTCCTGCTGCAGTGGGTGGGGAGTGAGTGACAGCATATGATATCTGGCTGGGTGGAGGCAGGACTTGGTGCTGGGGGTAGAAAACCAGCCGCCTCTATCCTGGATCAACCTTGGGATCAGAAGAATTTGTGTAAGCATTAAAGAGTGTATTTAAACTGAAACACTAACATCCTGGGACTGAAGACTGGCTGTCCAGTGCACCGATACCTGTTTGGGTGCCCCAGGGAGAGGCTCAGGGAATAGTCACAAGAACAGAGCTGACTGTCAGTTCTCGTCAGATGTTCCCATTCCACTAAAAGCTGGGCCAGGTCACTAATGGGGAGTGGGGCAGATACAAGGGTGCATGTGGGACTGGAATCAGAGAGGGGACTGAAGTCACCCCATGGCTCTGTTTCTGTGCTCCATGGACACAAAACACAACAGCTAATCCTGGGGTGAAATGCTAAAGGCTGGAGCGAGGGTGGGCGTAGCTAGGCCACGGTGCTTCCTTCACTACCCAATCTTCTTTGAGAGGCAGACGCACCTTTATGTGACGTGGATGAAGCAGCCTCTAACCCAGCCATACGGATGGGAGGCTGCGCAGGCCTGCAGCCAATCCAGTGGAAAGGCAGAATTAATGGCCTGGGGCTCTCAGACAGTGCCTCGCTTCCGTCTCAGCCGCTGTCTGGCTCTTTCTGATGTTGCGTGACATGTTACCCTTCCCCTCTCTCTGTTGCTGCCTGGGTCATTCTGGCTTTGGCTTCATAGTTGGAAAGAGCAGTTACTCACCTGCCCCTGGGGGTATCAGAGCAGACTGGGACATCTCTGTGCAAAGCACCATGGGCTGGAGCTTCTGGAGAGCTGTGACCATTGGGGGCCCCCCCACCACACTCCCTCAACACTAGAGTTGGGCAAATAACTGAGTTTTTAGTTCAGTGGCCGAATAGAAAAATTAAAAAAAATATTCATTTCATGTTAACCCCAAATGACAATTTTCCAGTTTTTCTTGCCAAAACAACCCCCCCAATAAATAAACAAACAAATACATAAATAAAATAGTTTAGAGTTGAATGAAATGTTGTGTTCGACTCAAAATGTAATGTTTCATTTTTGAGTCTTTTGTTTGCTTCTGTTGAGTTTTTCTCATCAAATCTAGCTAATTTACTAAACAAAACGTCATTTCAAAATAAATATGTTTCCACTTTGCCAGGATTTCTCCCCCCAATTTTTTTTCCAGCTGGAAGTATCTGCTGAATTGAACCTGAATTCGTGAAGAGTTTTAGTTGACCAAGAACTGCATTTTTGACAAATAAATAATTTGCCAAACAATTTTGGCCAGTTCTACTCAGCCTTTCAAAAGGCACAGTGGTTCCCACCTCTCAGTTCCTTCCACTTTGAATCTAGGAGACGCTCCAACAAAGTGGTGGGTGGAGATCTGGGCTGGGGAGTTACTCAAAGAACTACAGTTACTGGTGGATAAACGTACGTTCTGAGCCGAGCATTGTCGGCACACATCCATGCTCTGGGGAGGTTGACAGGCAGTCCCAAATCCCCAGTGAGGAGGATGGGAGAAGAAGAGTCATTCAAAAGTGATTGCAGGATTGCTCTCCCAAATTGGTAGCAGACCTGGAGGCCAGGCCACGAGACTGATGCCATGTAAGGGAATGGGTCGAGTTCCAGGTGGCACCCCTACCTATCTCCACCATAGAAATGTTTTGCAGACGTGAGGCAGAGCTGTTTTAGGCCAGGGAGAATGAGCTCTGCTACCTTCATCCTCAGGGAATACCGTGTGCCAGGAGTGAGTGGGGGGCCATGTGGCTAGCCATTAAGGCTTGGAGTTAGCAGGCTCTTGAGGCCAATGCTATTGGTATGAGGAATGCAGTCTTTGGAAACAAGTAAGATAGGGCCTGATTCTCCCACCACAGGATAGGAGTGATTTCGACTGACTTCAATGCAGGGGGAAGAAAAGGGCCTGTAGGAGCCAGCCTCCTAAAGGTTGCAAAGGAGCATCAGTTTAGTGAAAACTCAGTGTAAAAGTCATGAGGGAACTGAATTCCATATAGCTGGGAACAGCCTGGCTAACCTGTTTAAGAATCATTTTACAGCAGGGTGTCCAAACACAGGTTCCTTGACCAGAATCCTGGTGAGCTGACACAGTTGTGTCCTATCAATGGACTCAAGAGGCTCAATCCAGATTTCTTCAAAAGTAACAAATAATCCAGGATGTTAGGGACAGATGCCAAGACTGGGGTGCTGAGCTTTTAACCAGTTTGCTTAGTAAGACTCTCTAGTCGCTGTTTTTTTTACTCTCCAGCAGGTGCTTTCATACCTGCAATAAGTAATCCTCAACTCCTCACATCAAGATTGCATTAACCATGCTGCCAGTTGCAAAGGTTTCAGGTCTAGGTGAGGACATGCACTCTTTGTGATGTACAACCTGTACCAACCAATTGCTGAGGTATGGGGAGATGCAAATCCCCTGCCTTCTCATGTGATCTGGCATGAAAACTTGGTGCAATGGGAAGACCAAATGTAGAACTTTGTCGTTAAGTGATCTCGCTGTAGCAAAGGTAAGGGTGAGCTGAGACCAGTGCTTTGGATTTAGGGAAGGGGTTGTCCTCTTAGGTCCAGAAGGTGATGAGGCATCCTGGCATCTCCGAACTGGGGCAATAATGGGCACAGTAATCCTCCTCCCTGATTCTGTTGGGCTGAGGTCTCACTTCTGCTCCTCCCCACCTGAAGGAGGGTGGTGACTGAGTCTCAGAACACTTTCACTCACAAGAGTTATCCCTGAAAAGCGAGGGGAAAGGGACTGGTTTGGGGCAGAACTGAATGGAAAAAAGCATCTCTGGGTGATCTGCAAAACCCATTCACTGCATGCCGCCAACAGTTTTCAAAAGGGAGAGGAAAGATGAAGAAATTCACGGAACCAGTCTGAGGCTTTCCAATATTCTCTTTCACAAATGATGAGAAGGAGAAGGAGAAGGAGAAGGAGAAGGAGAAGTGGAAGGAGAAGTCACTGTTTTCTGTCTGAGATTTAGATCTTTCTGCCCATAATAGGTAAATGTCCGTGAGGTTTCTCTGTTGGTTTGTAGATGGAAGCGGCTGGGACTGTCTCTGACATTGGAAGGATGTACCCTACTGTCAGGATGCTTCCTAAAGAATGCCTGATAAACTCCCAAAGATCAAAAAGTTGAACCAAGCCTAACCATGCAGGAATTGAAAACCCCGGGCCCTCCAAAAGTAAGTATTCTCCGCAGACAGGAAGTCTGCAGGAAGACTTTGCCACTGCTCTCTGCATGGTAACAGCAGTAGCAACAGATGGAGCTGCTTTATCTGAAGCGTTAAGAGCTGCCTTCAGGGAATGTCGGGCCATCCTTTGTCCTTCAATGGCCTTCTGCAAAGTGATCTGAAAGGGGGATCATCTGATCCCGTGCCAAGGAATCATTACGGGGCTAGAGGTGCCTGATGATTTCCACCCTTAGTGGAGGAGCT